AAGTTCCATAGCCTCCTCACCCAGATGCCCAAGAACACGAGGGGGGAGGCTACGGGGACCCACACACTCAACCCCAGAGGATCGCACAAGCAGCAGAAAACTGGCATATGCGAACTTTTGATTTGGTTTCCGGACTTGTCCTTCCCTCCTCCTCCACCCCTCCATCCACCTTCTGATTTCTCTCAATGTGTTGTGCAACAAATAAAGAACTTTTTAAAACAATTGTGACATATATATATTATATATAAAAATAATATAGGGGACAGGTAACTTCAAGAGAAAAAACAACTGTCACACCGTACCCTGGCCAGTCATGAAACTGGCTTTCAAACCTTCTCTGATGCACAGCGTGCCCTGCTGCGCTCTTCTGATTGCCCTGTTGTCTGGCTGTGCGAAACTGGCCGCCAGGCAAGTTGCCTCAACCTCCCACCCCGCCATAAACGTCTTCCCCTTACTCTCACAGATATTGTGGAGCACACAACAAGCAGCAATTACAATTGGAATATTGGTTGTGCTGAGATCTAACAGAGTCAATAAACTGCACCAGCGCGCTTTCAAATGTCCAAAAGCACATTCTACCACCATTCTGCGCTTGCTCAGTCTATAGTTGAACTGCTCCTTACTACTATCCAGGGTGCCTGTGTACAGCTTCATGAGCCATTGCATTAAGGGGTAGGCTGGGTCTCTGAGGATAACTACAGGCATTTCAAGATCCCCAACAGTAATTTTCTGGTCTGGGAAGTAAGTCCCTTCCTGCAGCTGTTCAAACAGACCAGAGTTCCTGAAGATGCAAGCGTCATGCACCTTTCCCGGCCATCCCACGTTGATGTCAGTGAAATTTCCCTTGTGATCCACCAGTGCTTGCAGCACCATGGAAAAATACCCCTTGCGGGTTATGTACTGTCCGCCCCGGTGTTCTGGGGCCAGATAGGGATGTGTGTTCCATTTATCACCCTGCCGCAGTTAGGGAACCCCAGCACATTAAAGCCATCCACAATGGTCTGCACATTTCCCAAAGTCACTACCCTTGATAGCAACTGGTCAATGATTGTGTTGGCTAATTTGCAGCATAGCAGCCCTCACAGTAGATTTGCCCACTCCAAACTGATTCCCGACTGATCGGTAGCTGTCGGGTGTTGCGAGTGGCCATAGCACTGTGGAAGCTTGCTTCTCAACTGTGAGGGCTGCTCTCATTTTGGTGTCTTTGCGCTTCAGGGCAGAGGACAGCAAGTCACAAAGTTCCATGAAAGTGGCCCTACACATACGAGAGTTTCGCAGCCACTGAGAATCATCCCAGACCTGCACCACTACGCGGTCCCACCAGTTTGTGCTTGTTTCCTGGGCCCAGAATCGGTGTTCCATGGCATGAACCTGGCCCAACACCACCATGCTCTCCCAATCGCCACATGCCGTGCTTCTAGGAAGATCTGTGTCCATGTCCTCATCAGTATAGTAATCACGCTGTCATCGCTTCCTCGCTCAGTTTTGCAGGTACTTCACATACTGCTGAATAATGCGTGAGGTATTTACAATGGTCAAAACTGCAGCGGAGATCTGAGCGGGCTCCATGCTTGCCACGCTACGGCGCCTGCACGGGTAATCCTGGAAAAAGGGACGCAAAATGTAGGAGAGCTGTTCGGTTCACAATGGCCGAAAAAAGGCGGGAAATGGTTGTCTTTTGTAACTTCCATGGGAGCCCGGGACCGACAATATGGAGAAGCTCACTAGCGCTGCAAGAGCCGGAAAGCAGAGTTTGCAGCGGAAGCTGTGCTGCTCAGTTCACAGTGGCCGAAAAAAGGCCGGAAATTGTTGTTTTATGTAGCTTTCACGGGTGAGGAAGAGAGAGTAGATCCTTCGAGATATTACATAGAAAGACGAGGACATGCGAAGTGAATTCATAGTATCAGGAGACAGGCGGTGCACCGTACTGCACCGTCTGCTGGCAGTATGGCGTCTGCCATAGCTTTCATGGAGGGAGGAGCAAGTGACAAGAACACTCCCAGAAACACCCACGAGAATGTTTTTGCCCCATCATGCACTGGGAGCTTAACCCAGAATTCCAATGGGTGGTGGGGACTGTGGGATAGCTACCCACAGTGCACTGCACCGACATTCGATGCTAGCCTCGGTACTGTGAACGCACTCCGCCGAATACACACGCTTTTGGGGGGGGGGGGGGGGCGGGAGGG